AAGGTTTTTCTCAATATCTGTAAATTCGGTTAAATCTAGAAACAAAGCTCTATGGTAAATCATTCTAGAGAGGCCATCTAATTTCCCCCATCCTACCCTGTACAATCATCCTTGCTAGAAAGAACCCCTTCTTGTTCTCATGGCAGATACTTGAAGGGGGTCAGACACAAATCCCTGGGAACAAATAGATTGCTTGAGATAGAATTTACTCTATATAATTACTATATTATTATTATGAATTATAATGATTTCTGTAGAGTCAGTTCTATAGAACTTGAAACCAAAAATTTCCTGGATGTGCCAGGTGCTGTATTTGTGAGAGAAAATAGAAGCACTCCCTCCATCTATGTATAGCAGAATTCTCAAAAATTCAATTATCTGGTAGTTCCCAAAAACATACCTCCCAAAGCAATTCATAATAACTTTTATATTTCAATAATACTACTTCAAACACACTGCACTTGTCAATTCATCTATTAGGACATTAACATTTTAATTGTGTAAATGAGGAGTTGGCAGACTTTTTCTGTAAAAATCCAGGTGGTAAATATTTTAGACTTTGCAGGCCAAATGGTCTCGGAGGCTACTATTCCATTCTGCTGTTGTAGCACAAAAGCATTCCTAGACCGTGAGTAAATGAATGGCTGTGGCTGTGTTCTAATAAAACTTTGTTAAAACAGACTAGATTTGGCTCAGGGGCCTTAGTTTTCTGAACTCTGGTATAAATGAACTATCCATATGTATAAAGTTTGTATTAGGAGAAGGCACCCGGGCATTTAACATCTTAATAATATTTTCCCCATAAGCACTTTCTCTACAGCAGGCTTGCTTCCGCCCCCTCCGCCCACGTCTCCATAAGATTCCTTTAAATGGTATGGCCTTTAATCTTCATTTTGCTCAAGATCCATTCAAAGTTATTCTATGTTTGTTGTTTATTTATTGCATAGTTTCTGATTTAGGCTCAGTCTGTTTTCTTTCTCCAGCGAAGCTCTCCCCACATTGGGCATCTCAACTTCTGTGGCAGTAACAGGTTAATCTCATGAACATCAGGAACCTCCCTCTGTATGAGTGGTAGCTTTCTGAGTCCTAGAATCACTGGAAAGAAGATGGAGGAATTTGGCTCAGCAAACCTCAGGATATTTTAACTGACCAGAAAATCCAGTGTCATCTCCCGCTCCTCTCAGTCCTGCATCTCTCCATCTCTCCAATTGCTGTGGAAAAAGATGGGGGAGGATGGCCGAGGGTCTTCTAGGTGTCTGGGACTCGGCTTGCAGCAATTTGACAGACATACACCTGCACCAAGAATTTCATAATTGCATTTTGAAGGTTCAGCTCACTCAAAATTTGCCCCTACTGGCACCCAGTTTCCTTTAGGAGACAGAGAACTGGCAGATACATTCTAAAGCAATGGTTAGGATAGAAAGGAATCCCTGGAAAACTTCAAGACAAATGTCTGGTCCCAGCAGAAAATGGGTGGGACATTTTCTTTGACGCGGATGGACCTGGAGGGTATTATGCTGAGTGAAATAAGTCAGTCGGAGAAGGACAAACATTATATGGTCTCATTCATTTGGGGAATATAAAAATTAATGAAAGGAAATAAAGGGAAAGGAGAGAAAATGAGTGAAAATATCAGTGAAGGTGACAAAACATGAGAGACACCTAACACTGGGAAACGAACAAGGGGTAGTGTAAAGGGAGGTGGGCAGGGGGTTGGGGTGACTGGGTGATGGGCACCAAAGGGGACAGTTGGCACGATGAGCACTGGGTGTTATGCTATATGTTGGCAAATTGAAGTCCAATAAAAAAATAAAAATTAAAAATTAAAAAAAATGGGTGGGATTTGCAAATTATTTTGCCCAGGCAAGTTCACTTCAATTCCACATTAGCCTACTTTATGATGAACTTTGGACCTCCGGAGAACCAAACCTAACCTCCTTGATGAAAGGAATCAAACTTCCTGCCCCAATAAGCTTTTTATTCCCACAGCCTTGATTTTTCAATTTGATTTTATTTTACTTTCTTCTATTTGTCTAATTTGCAATGCCATAGCATTAAAAAGACTGTACAGACAGTGTTCACCTCAATCTAAACCTCTGGCCAATTGGTCCATTTCAGATTGATGATGAAAGAATTATGCTATCATGATCCACAGTCATCACAGAATTATAATCCACCGTCTTTTGAAAGTTTCCCAAACTAGAACTCTTTGCTCTTGCTTGTGTCAATTTGGAGAAGCTCATTTTACTCATTCACAGCCTTCTTTTCTCTAATACTTTTGATAAATGAGGAAGTTTTCCCAGTCCTCCCAGGCTCACTCTGCATGCACAACCCCTGGCAACCAGATCAAACCTCCTCTACTGTTGTTTGAGTCCTGATCCCTTCAGCATGGGTTCTGCAGACCCTACTTCCTCTGCTTCACATCTTTCCTCCATCTCTAAAGAGACTACCAAAGGGAAATGTTCCAGTTCTTCTCTCTAGTTTTGGAATAAAGGGCCCTGGGCCCGTCTAAGGCCATCCCTCTCCTAGCCCTACTCACTAAGATTTTTCTCCATTTCTAGCACTTTCATTTCCTTCTGTCTTCAAACATGCCCAAAATGTCCCCTGTCCTGGAAAGTGATAAGCCAGAAAGTAAAAAATGCACCATGTTTACCTGCCCCTGCTGTTCCTCTCCTTCCAGAGGTGAAGCAACCAGACTTCTGTCCAGCATCTGGCCTCCCCCTCTACAAAAACCATTCCTGCCTCCATGAAGTCTGGACTCTGTCCTCCCTGCTGCCCTTCCAGATCAGTGATCCAATCTTTGTCAAATCCATTGGGCTTACTCTTGGTTTTATTGTGCCTTGACCTTTTGGTGTAGGTTTAATGAAACAGCGTTGTGTATCCTCAAGGATCTGGGACACCGAAGCCCTAAGTGAATTACACCCACACCTCAGCAACACCTTCCTGAAGGGCTCTACTGGCCTCCAGAGTGTTATGCTCCCACTGTTGTTTTTGTGACCCACATTCTTTCTCTTCCTACCATCTTCTCATTGCCGGCATTTCTGGAATTTGGTCTTTGGACTTCCCTATTTATGTCATCCCTGACTGTTCTGTTCTCCCTGCCTCACTTCTCACCTACCGTGGCCCCCAAGTTACCGCTAGCCCCAAGCTTCCACTCTTAAAACTGCCAGATTAACATTTCCTCTGTTTCCACATATTCAAAATATCTAAACCTACTTTTTCACATTACAACTACCCAAGCCATTTCCCGCTTTCTTAAGATTACTTTTAGTAAGTGACAATAAACCACAGTAAAATGTGGGACATCTCTATTTCTCCCCTGTCCTGAAGAGTCATCCAATCAGACATCAACTTCCATCAGTTTTTTATGTCCATTATCACGATCACATGTGATTGACTCATTCTACCCCATTCATCATCCCAGGTCTGTCCTTTTGTGTCTTCAGTGTGTGTGACTGCATTAGCTCTCATACAGCCTTCCTCTCTCACACCTCCCTTCCCTATCCTAACCCACCCACAATGACCAGACCAATTCTCATAAAGTGGTGCCTCCACCATGATACTGTAAGCAAAATTCTATTCCTGTAAGATGAAGGCCTGAAATCCTGAGCCCGAAAGTTGAGGTCCTCCATCATCTGGTATAACCACCCCTCTACATAAAACTCTCTCTCCAGCTCCCTCCCTGAACTATTTGAAGAACCGCGGCAGTGGGCCTGCTTCATGCCTTTGCTCATCCTGCAGACGTGATTTACGTGCTTCCTGCTAGCACAAGCACCAGAGACTGGCTGGACCAACACTTGGAATTAGAAACAGGTGTAGCCATAGATTCCTTTGGATGGATTTGAAAGTATGAACTTTTATATCTCAGTGCAAATTTTCCCATCAAGCATCTCACACCCAGAAGGTATGAGACTCCAGGAAGGGTATAAAGATCTGTCTAATTATGACCTTCAGGAACATAATCGAACCAGTTATATAAGATATGTATATAAATAAGTCATGGAAAATGACTTCTTATTGATCAATGGGTATGGAATTTCAGTTTTGCAAAATGAAAACATTTTGGAGATTGGTTGCACAATATTGCGAATGTACTTACTTGACACTACTGAACTGTACACTTAAAAATAGTTCAGATGGTAAATTTTGTTATGTGTGTTTCATCACAACTAAAATAATTGTTTTAGTTGTCCCAATCAGGGGAGGTGGTCAGTGAGTTAAGCCCAGAAATATAGGTGGGACAGTGACAATATACCTAACACTCTACCCTGAGCCATATGTACATTAACTCTGTTAATTCCCTCTAACCCCTACTAGGTAGAAGCTGTTATTCTCTTCAGTCTGACCCTAAAATACAGGGAAAAGGCAGGATTCTTTAGTTTATCTTACTCTTAAAAAAAAAAAAAAAAAGGTCAGGGCAGGCCTGGATGGCTCAGCAGTTTAGCGCCACCTTCAGCTCAGGGTGTGATCCCGGAGACCCGGGATCGGGTCCCACGTCGGGCTCCCTGCATGGAGCCTGCTTCTCCCTCTACCTGTGTCTCTGCCTCTCTCTCTCTGTGTGTCTCTCATGAATAAATAAATAAAATCTTAAAAAAAAGTCAGATGCCAAAATATTCCAGAATGTGCACAGAATGTCCAAGAGAAGAGAATGGGTAAATATAGATTTCTGTAATCAAATTTATTCATGTACAGAGATGTTTACAGCTTTAAAGAATGCCTGGAAAACTTCAACAATGTTATGGACAACTTACAAATGTTTGTTAGTATGTAATTATGATACCCATCTTTTGAATTTATAAAAATCAGAAATGTCCCCCAGAAAGTTTTGCAATGTGACAATGGAACTAAATATATCATAGCTACAGCTACCATCTACTGAATGCTTGGCTTCATTTGACCAAAAAATAAGTATTTAAAATTTTTTTAAAATAAAAGGCTTATGAAGTGGTAACCTCCACATGTCAGAGCCTGGCAACATTCCGCAGGCATCCCTCCTTCCCTCTTTTCGACATGAACTAGTCTTGGTCATATGACTACCGTCCCAGTCCAACCAGTTGCAAAATAAAAAGGAAAAGGTTGATTATATCCAAGTAGATGTTCAGAGCAGCAAAAACATACTCTTCAGGGTCCAGGTCAGAGTGATGGTGGCGCCCTCCCACCATGAGCTGCACATCCATCACCAAGTACTTAAAGAAAAGAAAGAAGAATTAGCTACCTAAATTGTACATGTCTATCAAATAGGTATCCTAAATTATCTGGAAAATATTTTAGCATTAGTAAATATATGGCAGAAAGTCAGTTTGTAATTATATATGTTCTTTTTACAGCCTCAACCATTCACTATGTCCCCAAGTGTGTCTTCTATTATAGCAAGTGCTTCATCCTCCTGATGCCAGTGGGATCAAATCTGTAAGGTTTCTTTTGCTTTCCAAATCCAGAAACCTTTGTGCCTTTAGTCAATAAGGTGGACAGGTGGGACGATTGGACAGAGTTAAACTACAAAATTCTCTGTCTTGGTGAATTTCCCACATGTTCTTGCTGAAAAAAGAATGAAAATAAAGATAGCCCCTGACATTTAGATTCACACACAGCAATAATTCTGAGTTCTTAGAGCTCTTAGAGCTTTGGATGATAGCATTTTTCAAACCTTGACAATGGGATGGCTTAAGATGATGCTGGTATTTTCAAAATAGAAGGAGGAGAAGATGGGATTTGTATATGGTTAAATAGTTCCCAAATTAAACGTTTTAGCTCAGCTACAGTAGGTAAGATTATGGGCTCCTAACACATGGAGAAAAAAGTCAGAGAGCCCTCTTGCCCTTGTGTTTGCTGCCAGGGAAGCAGCCCCAGGCAACATGAGTACATTAGAGGAGGAAAAGAAAAAAAGTGGCCCCTAACTTCTTTATATCAACTCTAGACTAAGAATCTAGTGCTGTGAGGTAGAGCCACAGAGCCCCACCAGACAGATCAACTCTGGCACTATAGAGAATTCTTTGGGTTTAAAGGATGCTTGAAAAATGGGGCAGGGGGCAGCCCGGGTGGCTCAGCGGTTTAGGGCATGCCTTCAGCCCAGGGTGTGATCCTGGAGATCTGGGATCCAGTCCTACATCAGGCTCCCTGCATGGAGCCTGCTTCTCCCTCTGCCTGTGTCTCTGCCCCTCTCTCTCTCTCTCTCTCTCTCTCTCTCTGTGTGTGTGTGTGTGTGTGTCTCATGAATAAATAAAATATTTTTTTAAAAAATGGGGCAGGGGAAAAAATGGGGCAGGGGGACGAGGCAATTGGATGATGGACATTAAGGAGGTCACGTGATGCGATGAGCCCTGGGTGTTATATAAGACAGCTGAATCACTGACCTCTACCTCTGAAACTAATAATACGTTATATGTTAATTAATTGAATTTAAATAAAACTTTAAAATAATTAAAAACAAATAAATAATTCATTTAGAACAATATCCACTTCAGTAAGACCCATTTCAAGTAATTCAGGTACCAACTCTCCGTCGGCCCTGGTTGCCACTCAAACTTGGAAGAATAAGGAGGAAAGGAGAGAAGAGAAGGAGGAAAGGAAGTGGGCACCTCCTGGGTACCTTCATGCCAGCTCATTACAGACATCCCTCATGTAATATGTGATCAACCCAGTAGAGGGAGGGGAGATTAACTGAGCCTCCCAAAAGGCAAGATCACACTGTGGCAAATGGTGGAGAAGGAAGTCGAACCCAAGGCTGGGCAGGATGCCAAAGCAGGTGCCTCACCTGGATCACTGAGTCCCTTCTTCCCTCTTCTCCCCCCTCCCTATGACTGATTCTAGCAACTTTGGGGGGTGTGGAATAAGCTAGGGTAACCAATCATTCCAATTTGTCCAGGACTTTGTGTGTCTTTGGAAACCCCTCAGTGCTAGGCAAACCAGGACAGTTGATCACCCTAGAAGACAGGCTGCCCAGCAGCTGAGCTTCCAGCCTTCATTTATCACCCTGGCATCCTGACTTCTATGGAGGAGTGCTTTTCTCTCTTCCTCTGCTCTGAGAACTCCTGACTTTATCTTATTTCTTCTTATAAGAGGGATAATAACTTCTAATTATTTTACAGACACGTCTTGGTGGTCAGGACTGCACCTCCCAGGTTAAATTATGTTTTTGAAGGTAGACAGAGAAGTGATAGAGTAAGATGAGCTGGGATCCAGTTGTTCCCTCCCCTCCCAAGGAGAATGAGGCTCAGGACACAACTAAGACACAGCCAGCCCATAGGGAAGCCTTGGGTGAGATTCAGACCCCAGGGGCATTTGGTGTAACACCCTGCCTCACCTCTACAGCTCTTGTGGTTTATCACCCCCTTCCCATCCCACACTGTCTTGCTTACTGTAGCTTCATAAGAAGTCTTGAAGTCAGGTAGCATCAATCCTCCAACTTTGTTCTTCTCCTTCGGTGTCATGTTGGTCATTCACACACACACTTATCTTTTTTTTTAATGTAGTCATATATATAGAATGCTCTGTCTTGGCTAATCTGATGGTAGTGAGCCTTCAGAACTTATTAACATTAGTGTCATAAAGTTGGTATACCATCCGCCTCACCCACTGTTAAATTTGACTGGCCCTAAAAAAAAGATGTTCTGTCTTTGCTTTTTCATTTAAAAATAATGGTCTCCATATCTTAGCAGAGATGGATTGAGTTCATCCTTTTTTAAAGCCTGCATGGTATTCCATTTTATGCTTTTTATCAGGTCACATATTTTAGGTTTTAGGGTTTCTTTTTAATTGTTTATTTTTGGCATTTCTAAACACACCCAGAAGTAGAGAGAATGGAATAATAAATTCCACACATTATCACCCAGCTTAAAAATATCCACATTTTGCTTCATGGTGTCCCTTTTTGTTAGAGTTATGTGAGAGAAGAGACAAATAGATCAGTGGAATGACTGGAGAGCTCAGAAATAGATCCACATAAATATAATCAACTGATATTTCACAAAGGAGGAAAGGCAAGACAATGGAGCAGTGACGGTCTCTTCAACCAGTGGTGTTGGAACAACTGAACATCTATATGCAAAAAAACTAATTTAGAAAAGACCTTTCACCCTTCACAAAAACTAACTCAAAATGGATCACTGACTTAAAGGTAGAACACAAAACTATAAAACTCCTAGAAGATGACATAGGAGAAAACCCAGATGACTTGGGTGTGGTGATGACTTTTTAAATATGACCCCAAAGGTACAACCTATGAAAGGAAATAATGCATAATCTGGGGTTCATTAAAATTCAAAACTTCTGCTTTGTGAAAGATAATGTTAAGTGAATGAGAGAACAAGCCATAGAGAGGAGAAAGTATTTGCAAAACACACGTCTGATAAAGGAGTATTACCAAAATATACAAGAAAAAAAACCTCTTAAAACTCAGTTAAGCAAACAAACCGTCTGATTTTAAAATGGGCCCAAAGATTTTGAAAACACAAAACCCTGACATGGATATTTAGAGCAGCTTTTCAAAATTGCTAAGACGTGGGAGCAAATGAGTCGCCCCTCAGTAGGTAGATGGATACATGAATGGTGGCACATCTAGGCAATGGAATGTTATTCGGCACTAAAAAGAAATGAACTATCAAGCCAAGAAAACATACAGGAACCTGAAGTTCACCTCACTAAGTGAAATAAGCCATTCTGAAAAGGCTGCTAGAGACTCTATGATTCCCACTATAGGACGTTCTGGAAAAGGCAAAATTTGGAAACAGGAAAAAGATCAGGGGTTGCCAGGTGGTGGACATAGGGGAGGGATCAAGAGGTGGAACACAAAGGATTTTTAGAACAGTGAAAAATACTCTATGATATCGTAATGATGGAAGGAGTCAGTGTGTGTTTACCTAAACCCATAGACCATCCCACACCAGGAGTGAAGGCTAGTGTAAACTTCAGGTGATTATACTGTGTCAGTGTGGGTTCGTCAGTGTAATGAACATACGGCTCTGGTGGGTGGTATTGGTCATGGGGGAGGCCACGCAGGTATGGGGCCGAGGGGATACCTTCCTCTCCGTGTCACTGTGAACTTAAAAAAGCTCTAAAAATTGTCTTTATAAAGAAAAAGGAGAAGGAACGAAAAGAGGAAAGGAGGCACAGGAGGGGAATAGTCAAGCTACTTGACTCTGGACCTAGCATGGGCTTAGCGGCCCTGTCAAGGCACATACCATATGCTTTGTCAGGGTGAGGGAGAGATGGACTTACAAGTGAGAAGACTATAGTTCCAAGTCCAGCATACAACAGATGCAACCACTGCAAAGAGAAGAAACAATTGCATATTAAGAACAAGATTTGGAATAATGAAAGGGCTCACTTGGGTCACTGCTGTTAGATAAGGATCCAATATTAAGGAAAGGCAAATCTGTGGGGAAATTCATCTTTTTGAACATAGTGGTCAAATAGCACCCACTCAATTCCATTCAGGAAACAAATGAAAACTACCCTTGCCAAAACAGTTTTATCAAGTGTTAAACATCTCATGCGTGGCAGGGCAGGTAGACCATACTAGACATGTTTCTTTTTGCGCCATCACATAGCCCTCCTACGGCATCTGCCCCTACACTCAGTTCTTGGAACAGGTAACTCTGGGAAAATAAGGACCCTCGTGCACCTTAGCTAGAGCTGATTGACAAGAGGTGGAAGACATCCGCTCCAACAGCAGTGACTCTCTTGACTGATGAGAAACCTTGTATGTGACTGGGACCAAGCAGATGATGCACTGGCCAGTCAGAAACCAGTTCCCAGGGGCCACTGTATCATGAACTAGTGCTGGAGCTATTACCATACAGAGGTGGCCCATCAACTCAGCCCAGGAGAGTAAGGTGGGATTTCCATTTCTGTGAGTCCAGTCACTTCTTCCCACCTAGGAACTCCATGAACATCCCTGGGTCTTTGCTTCTAGCTAGTCTGTGCAGTATCTCCTCCTTGCAACCAAAACAGCCCTTATCAGAACATGAGACTGATCTGAATGCCAAAGGGGTTGGCTCTATGTGGGAAAAAGATAAGGCAGGGGTGCATAACATGTAAGAAAAATAATGCCATTCACTCTTCAGGACAAGAAAGCCCATCCTAGATGAATGGACAGAGCATTCTGCTAACCAGGGAAGATTCCTGGTGAAGGATACAAATCAGGAGTCAGTGACACAGTGTGGGAGGGGCAGTGTTTCTGGACTGAGCTAATAATAAGAAAATGCCTGATTACTGGATCTGAAGAATTTAAAATTGCCAAAGTCAAACAAGTATGTATACTTACAACAAGGTTCTGTCAAAGTCTTCCATTTAAATGCCTGTGTAAGACTATATATATTGTAGATATTTGGGGAAGGAAATTTACAGTGGGAACTAGGGTTCATCTATCTAGTAGGAAACACAGTTTCCTAACTGCACATCAATGGTATTGCAAAGGCCTATGGAACCAACCTAATGGGGTCCCTGGGTGGCGCAGCGGTTTGGTGCCTGCCTTTGGCTCAGGGAGCGATCCTGGAGACCCGGGATCGGATCCCGCATCGGGCTCCTGGTGCATGGAGCCTGCTTCTCTCTCTGCCTCTCTCTCTCTCTCTGTGACTATCATAAATAAATAAATTAAAAAAAAAAAAAGGAACCAACCTAATGAATGTTTGGATTATTACTACCAATATCTGAGCTACCATCCATAATTGTAAGTGAAGAGCTGTGTGGCCTTCTAAGGCACGTCTTTGTGATATCTGAGTTTATCTCTAAAATACAGATGCTAAAAATAAATGAATTAAATACATTAAATTAAGTATACATGCTATCTCCCTCACTATAAATCTATATGGTCATTCATAAAGCTAAACCAATTCAGGTGGAATGGGTGCTTATGTCTGAAGATCACTTAACCAGTCTACTTGTTACCAAAGAAACTCTTGGATTCAGCAACTGGGCCAAGCTTGCCCTAGGGCTGGAATCAAAAGGTCACAGGCCCCAAGCCAGTCCTCAGTGGAGCTGGCTGCCCATGGGGTCTCCACACAAGGTGCTGATGACAGGCAGACCGCAGGGCCAGATGCTATGCCTCTACCTCTCACACCCCCTCCAGCCTCCATCCCCAGATGGTGCTCTGTGCTACAGAGAGCATGGATGGCACTCTCCACACAGATGCGGCTTTGATCCTGCTCCTACCACTTATTCCCTGTGTGAACCTGGATGAATTATTTAATTTTTCAGAGCCTGGTTTCTTATCTATACAATAGATGGCATATGTACTTTTCAGGAAGGTCATGAGAATAAATATAATGCCTATGTGAAAAACCACAGGCTGTCTGATATCTCGTAAGAAGTCAATGAAGATACAGAAGGAAGGAGGGAGGGCAGGAGGGAAGGAAGGAATGAAGGAATGAAGGAAGGCAGGCAAGCTAAGCTGAATTGGAAAATAAGGAGCCTCCTCTAGGCTGCTGTTGGGAAAGTCTGAAAAAGCCCATGTCTCTACTGCTAGCACTTCAAACAGGCAGCACCCCTGTATAGAAGGAATCTGACCTGCCCTGTGGGAAGGTTCACCCCCACGACCCTGTAAGGGGCCCCATAATTATTCATATTTTAAAAAGTGTTGTGCATAGAATACAGGAAAGACAGTTATAGTCTAGAAAAGGGGCTCAGTCTTTATGCCCACACCTCATGTGGTTCACCCCGCTTGTCTGTTTCTCAGAGGATCCAGGCCAACACAATCAGCACTTCACCCGAAATTTCTAATGATTCTCTGAGGTTCCTCAAAAGAGATCTCACTTACATATGATCGTATGAAGAGTAAGAGAATTCCATAGATAATAAGTACGAAGAGTAAAACAAACAGCATTCCATTCAGCATGGTGAAATCCCACTGAGGAAACATAACACAAAAACAACTCAATTATCACTTATAAGGAGTTTCAGGATGTTTAGAGTTGCAATTTATATCCCATAGACAGACACTGACCCATCTATTAATAACACCCAGGACATTTCTGAGAACCATTCAAATTCATTTGCTCCCATCATGGAAAAATGCTACATTAAAAAGTGTGCTGTTGACTGGAACTTGCTTCAGGAGGGAGAAGTGGGTAGGAGTATGGAGAAAATTACAGGAGCCATAGATACATGAAGGTTCATTATACTATTCTATTTTTGTATTTATATGAAATTTCCCTAATAAAAAATTTACCTTGAATAAACAGGATGTAAATTTGAATGTATAGCATGATCATAATTATTCATATTTTAAAAAGTGTTGTGCATAGAATACAGTAATGGAATGAAATAGGCCAATGTTAACTGGACATCTTTTCATGTTTGTAGGCATATATTTTAATAAAAATATACTAAAGCTTTCAAAATTATTACTAATCATTCTTTGGTAATTTCAAAATTTATTAATATGCTTATTGGTTTTGCCTTTTTAATAAATCAGGGACCAAATCAGGCTGGGAAAGATGAGGATTCTTTTAAAGAAAGGGGTCTATTCATCTTCTGACCTGAATAAAATTATGCAGTGAAGGAAGACCCCTGACTCTATGATATTTTCTTGTCAAAGCAATGTTCCTAAATCTTCTGTTCCCCACCCCCACCCTGGCACTCCCTACCCTTTGCACAGCAGGAGAGTAATCTGATGTAGTAGGCACCATCATCACCTGTGAAATGCAAATTCCAGGGCCCATGCCCCAGACTTTTTGAGGCAGCAACTCCAGGGCAGAGCCCAGGGAACCTGTGTTTTCACAAGCCCTCCAGACGATTCTGATGGCTGTTAAAAAAGTGTCTACAGCTGTGCATTCAATACTTGTGGCTAGTGAGCATTTGAAGTGTGGCTGGTCTGAAGTGAAGTGTGCTGTAAGTAGAAAATATACACTGGATTTGAATTTTAGTTCAAAAAAGGATGTAAGATAGTTCAATATTTTTGTTATATTGACTACTGAAATGTTAGAGCCTTGCATGTATTTGGTTAAATAAAATATATGATTAAAATTAATTTCACCTGGGTTTTGGGGTGGGTTTTTTTTTTTGTTGTTGTTGTTGTTGTTCCGTTTTTGTTTTTTGATTTTTGAACATGGTTACTAGGAAAGTCGGAAGCCAGAAGGTGGGGAGGCCACGGAGGAGCCCACAGGACAGCCGTGAGCAGGAGGGAGGAGGGATAAGAGTGGGTCAACAGGGGCAAAGGAACACATCTACACACCCCCTTATGACAGAAATCAGTTTCTGTGATACATACTTTTGTCTGAAGAGCAAATAAAGTGAGCGACAAGGTCACCAGAGCAGTTGTTGCTGTTGCCCACAGCACTTCCTCGGCATTATAGAAACTAAAACCAGAGATTGTGATTATTGTTCACATACAAAGAACAGTACACATGGGAAAGGAAATGTGCATCCAAGACTTACACTGATACGGCTCCGAGCAGCAGACCTTGAAGAACTGTCTAGAAACAAAATGCATAGTGAATCAGAACTGGGATCCAGAGACCCAGAAGCCAGAGGAGATGATTTAAGGTGCGTGTGTTTTGGCAGGGTCCAGGGAGCAAGTGGGAACATGCATAACCCTAGCGCATGAAGCTACAGGAAGGTTAATTATGGGAAACCAATAGTAGAACTAAACATTTTCCTAACATTTCCCCTAAGACCGACAAGATTATCTTCTTAGTAAAAATTCTTAGAACACAGCAGTAACTTTGAACCTATTTAGTGAATTAAATAGGTATGCATCAGGACGATCGAAACCATAATAAAACGTTTTTCTGCAGACCATATTTCGTCATTCACCAAATGGGGCCACCCACACAGAATCTTAACAATTTATCAAAGCGGAGTATGCTATTTCTACTAATGCTTCACCAACAGCCTCAGCGGTCACCTCTCCTACAGTGCTCGGGGGAGAACTTCAAACCTCAGATGAGGGAGGAGGATGGAGGCCTTTTCGGTAGCGGGGATGGGGCTGGAGGGCAGTTCTCCCGCCGAGCGCAGAGCTGCGCCGGTCGGCGCCCATGGGGGCGGGGCCTGTCCGGGCCGGGGGCGGGGCCTGTCCGGGCCGGGGGCGGGGCCTCTCCGGGCCGGGGGCGGGGCCCGCTGGGAGACAGGCAGGCGCTGAGCCGGCAGGCGGGCGAGCCCGGGCTCACCCTCCGGGCACAGCCGAAAGGAGCGAGACGACCGTCAACAGGGGCCGCCGAGCCGGGAAAGAATCCTCTAGTCTCGGGGAGGGGAAAATGCAGACGCCTCGTAACCGCGGAGTGCACCTTGGGTGCGGCAGGCGAGGAGAGCGCCCGGAGTCCTGGAGTCCTGCCTGGGTTGCATCTCCGCGCTTCCCCAACCCAGCGAGTAGCTGCCTGAGTCTCCGCGTTGTTAACTTTACCAAAGCTGTCCTTATTTCCAGGGGACACAGAGAGAGAGAGAGAGAGAGAGAGAGAGACAGAGAGAGAGATACAGGCAGAGACACAGGCAGAGGGAGAAGCAGGCTCCATGCACCGGGAGCCCGACGTGGGATTCGATCCCGGGTCTCCAGGATCGCGCCCTGGGCCAAAGGCAGGCGCCAAACCGCTGCGCCACCAGGGATCCCTCCGGGATAGGTTTAAAAGGGTATATCTGCTCCACGTACACCACGTACATATTTTAATAATGTGCTTGCTTCCAACCTTCCTCTTGAGTTTCTTCTTCTTCTACTTGCTCCACACCCTCGCCAACACTTGTCATTTCTTGGCCCTATGATAGTAGCCATTTCTGACTTGTGTGAAGTGATATATCACATTTCCATATAGACTGTAATGTTGAGCTTTTTTTTTTTTCATCCTTTGGCCATCTGTTTTCTTTGGAAAAATGTCTATTCAGGTCCTCTGTGCGTTTATTATTAGATTTTTTTAGTGTTCATTTATGTGCGTATCTAGGTAGATAGATGGGATATTAACCCCTTATCAGATGTGCCATTTGCAAAACCCCTCTCCCATTCAGTAGGGTGCCATTTTGTTTTATTGATGGTTTCCTTCCCTGTGCAAGAGCTTTTTAATTTGATATAGTCCCAACTGTTTTTGGTTTTGTTTCCCTTGCCTGAGAAGACAGATGAAAAAAGTGTTGCTAAAGCCAGTGTTCAAGAGTCTACTGCCCATGTGTCCTTCTAGGAGTTTTATGGTTTCAGGTCATACATTTGGGTATTTAATCCATTTTGAGTTTATTTTTGCATAGGGTGTGAGAAAGAGGTCCAGTTTCATTCTTCTGCATTTGACTGTCCAGTTTTCCCAGTACCTTTTGTTGAAGAGACTGTCTTTTCCCGTGGTATATTCTTGTCTTCTTTATTGAAGATTAAATGACCATATAGTTGTGGGCTTATTTCTGGGGTCTCTATTCCATTCCATTGATCCATTGTGTCTATTTTTTTGCCAATACCATACTATTTTGATTACTGTGGCTTTGTAGTAGGTCTTGATATCTGGGATTGTGGTACCTCCAGTCTTATTCCTCTTTCTCAGGATTGCTTTGACTATTCAGCATGCATAGAAGTATGCTTTTTTCTTTTTTTCCTCTAAGATTTTATTGGGACTCCTGGATGGTTCAGCGGTTATGCTTTATTTTCAGCTCAGGACGTGATCCTGGAGTTCAGGGATCAAGTCCCACATCTGGCTCCCTGAGAGGAGCCTGATTCTCCCTCTGCCTATGTCTCTGCCTCTCTCTCTCTCTCTCTCTCTTTCAAAAATAAATAAAATCTTTTTTTTAGAGATTTTATTTATTTGACGTAGAGAGAGAGCGCACAGCCAGGAGGAGCGGCAGGCACAGGGAAAGGGAGAAGCAGGCTCCTCACAGAGCAGGGAGCCCGATGCAAGGCTCAATCTTAGGATTCTGGCAACATGACCTGAGCCTAAGTCAGACGCTTAACTGACCAAACCACCCAGGAGCCCCAGACTATGCATTTTGTACACTAATCTAACCACTGGCTTTATTTTCCTACACTTATTTTTCCTTCCATAAGATTTCTCCACCGGTTTATCTTGATTTTCTTCTAGTGGGGGTATTTTTATAAGCTACCTCAAATCTGATATGGAACCAGATAAAGAATAAATCAATTGGTAAGCAAATCTTCACAATGGGAGGTTACTGAGATCCTGGAATCCTCGTGAGCAGCAGGGAAAAGAACTGGCTGCAAGAAATGGAGCCAAACGTTTTCTGTGGCCCAGAGCAGCATGGATCTGAGAGGAAGGACCAGTGTGGTGAGGCCTCCTGAGTAGAAGCCCCACAGGAGGTGCTGGTGAACCAAGAACCAGACCATGACTAAGTGAGGAGAGCCAGGAACCAGAACCCCCCCCACTAGCAGTCCCCCCCCCCCCAACTCTCTGCCCCTGAAAAGCCCTCCTGAACTGAGACGCAAGGTGGGAAATAGGGAGAACCTGTGCCAAGCTGGTTTCCTCTCCCAGTGAAACTTGAAATTTAAAAAAAAAAAAATCTTACAAAAATAAGGAAAATTATACTTCTTACCCACTTTCCATAAAAATGGGTTTGTTGTGCCTGGCACAGGGCCAGTAACAGTCACTTTCGCTGTTCCTGAAATGTAGCCCAGACTCTGGTGGCCTCTCAGAGGCATGTTTGCCGGCAAAGGAGTAGCCCCCGGGCCCCAAACCCCCTAACTGAGTAAAAGGGTGTGCAGGCTGGGTGCCTGGGTGGCTCAGCAGTTGAGGGTCCTGCCTTTGGCTCAGGTCATGATCCTGGGGTCCTGGGATCGAGTCCTGAGTCCTGCATGGGGCTCCCCACCGGGAGCCTCTGCCTATGTCTCTGCCTCTGTTTCTCATGAATAAAAAATAAATGTTTTTAAAAAGGGGGTGAGGAGTGTGCAGGAAGTCTCATGGAAGTCAAGGAAGTTTATGACTTTGTTACAACCAGAATCCAGCCAAGAGAACATCTCACAAATACTGTCTGTAGTATTCCACATGAAGATTTTCACAATAAAAGGAGTAGAATTACTAATGTGACAGAAATATGTTACAGAGGTGAGCTGCAAGTGCTAACAAAGTTTACTTACAAATAATCCCAGGAGAATGTAATTCGCAGGCACCTGACGGCGGAGTTTCCCACAGCAAGCAAGGACGATGAGTACGACAAAAAATGCTGGCCTGAGGATAATTTAAAGCCATGTGCTATTTGCTTCCAGTGATTATATCATATGATATAGGTAGATATAAAGATATATTGTTATACATTATTATCTGATAGTAAGTATAAAGCAAACAAAAATATATGCATATTATTACCTTTGCTCATTGTCATCCACAGAATTTAAAAAATTTTTATTTTGAAATAATTACAGATTCACAGGAAGTTGTGAAAAGACAGAGGAGTACTATGTATTCTTCACTTAGTTTCCCCCACTGGTTACATCATACAGATATATAGTATAATACCCACACACAAGTAATTTGACATTGATATAATATGTGTATAATGCTATGTCATAGAACTATGACACAAATCTATGTAGATATGTGTCACCAGCACCATAATCAAGATTTGAAACTATCCCATCATTAAAACATCAACAAAGATCTCCTTCGTGCCATCCCTTTAGGATAACAAACACCCACATACTCTAGCTCCTAGTAACCACTAATTTGCTTGTTTTCCATCTCTATAATTTTGTCAAGAATGTTATACCTTTACTTAATTTTTAATAAAGAACCTCCATCAATAGCCAGTAGAAAAATCACTTTTTATTAAATCCAAGAATACTTACAAGATTGCATAGGTGAACCAGGCATTCACAAGCACCCAAGCTTTTAAACCCTTCCTGATTAAAAAAAAATTAATATAGTTTTATACAATAGTTTCTTTTTCTAACTAATGCAATATTTAAGTGGAAGTAGAACAATCTCATGAGAAAGGGGTAAACCCAAAATGATTGACAATGACAAATGAAAAGTGAAATAATAAAACATATAACTACACCTTGCTTCTTAAAATAGACTCATAAAAAAGACAGTCATGTAAGTCAAATTTGTATAAATGTAAATTTCCAGGTGACATTTTTATTTTTAAAAAATACTGAGATTGCTATGTGTACAAAGCAAAAAAAAATCAATTTCTCATATAATTGTCTTGTAAATAGAAATTTTCATAGGCTATATTTAAGCAGTGATGGATCATAGTCCCCAAAATAATTTTGCATTTAACAGCATTGCAAGTCTCCAAGCCCTCCATAATCTCCACTTTTTTCCCTTATCCACTTTTATCTGTGGAAATAGCTTATGGAAAATTAAAAAATTAAATAATGCCCCAAGTATAAGTAAAACAAAAAGGTCTTGGCTTAAGATATTGAAGCAAAACTGTAGAAATCTACCAAAACTTGGTCTAAGAGTTGCCTCAGAAACAACAAAGCTATAGAGATATCATACCCTATGAATGATAAATAAAAAATAGATAATTTTTAATGATCAGAATTAAGTTGACTCAATAAGAAGAAATGTGAACAACGTAGTGTTTAATGTACCTCAGTAACAAAGACTTACCAGAAAAGAAATACGCTGACAATTGCCCCAGTGACCACCAACTGAGCTGACAGGATCAGGAATACTTTTATAATGAAGGCTGAGGAGACAGAAATATTTTTATGACACAATATTCAAAAGTAAAAATAGAAATGTAATTATCTACCTTTGATACCTAACAAAAGAACATTTCCTCTGATTTTTTTGAGGGTAGGAGAAAGAGTAGGAGTTTAGAGTCAGCAAATAGAACAACCACAAACATATAGCTCTGCAGAACTTGTGGGAAACATTCTGTTCGGATTGTTACTGGCGTTTTATTGGAGATCTGAGGGTTTATCCGTGGAAGTCCCCAAATCAAAACGACAAACGGGAATTTAATTCCTTATTATGCCCACCGCATCCTCCTTAGGACCAAAAGTGACCTCAAAGTCTCTGAAAGTCACAGGCCATCATTAGGGCTCTGGCTCCACCTGTGTGCAAACTGGAGCACAGGGAAAGCTCAGAAGAGGGCTGGTACCGAGGGCATTTAGCCCTCAGAGATGGATGTGGGCTGCAGGGCGTGTGCAGAGCTTTCTCATCACTTTACTCGCCAGCCTGCCTGCCTTTAGCAATTCCCTTCTACTTCAGCAGAAGCTAGATAACATGAGAAATGATAAGACCAAGGAGTTCCAGCAGCATGCCAAAGCAGAGCGCAGAGTATGTCAGTGTCTCTTTTTGCTGCTTCCTACTGCACAACTTTTCCTGGAGCCCTCTGAATATGCTGCTGAATATGACAATGAACAGCTTAGGAGTTTTGTCTCAGTTTTAAAAGGGAAGAAAAAAAGAATGCTGTTTAGAAATGACTTATGGGATTGTCAACTGTGTCCTTTTGCTGGGTGGTATCTATGCATAGGAAGAGTGACAACAAGGAAATGGGATTGAGCTATCTTAATCAAAATACCAGAACATACGTGCCAAATAAAATATTCACGTAGTCAACATTTATTTCACATCTACTATCTGTCAGACTGTAAGGTAATAAATATTAAATGTGGCCCAGCTTTATAAGACTAGATTAGACATAAGATCACTAGAATAGAATTGACACTCCAGAAATAATCCCTTACATTTCTAGTCAACTGATTTTTAACAAGTGTGCTACAACAATTCAAGGGAGAAAGAATAGTCTTTTCAACAAAAGGTGCTGGGACAACTGGACATATATATACAAAAGGATGAAAAAACAAGGATGAATCTGGACCCTTTCTTCATGTCGTACATACACAAAAATGAAGTATTAGTTTAAAATGGATCATAAATGTAAGCATATAAAACAAGACTTTTGGGGCACCTGGGTGGCTCAGTCCATTAAGTGTCCCACTCTTGGTCTTCACTCAAGTCATGATCTCAGGGTGGTGAGATGGAGAGCCCTACATCAGGCTCCGTGCTCAACAGAGAGCCTCCTCTCCCTCTACCCTTCCCCCTTCTCTTCCTTCCCCCTTCTTGTGCACTCGTTCTCTTTCTCAAATAAATAGATAAATCTTAAAAAGAAAAGAAAAGAAAGAAAATTCTTGGAAGAAAGCATAGATATAAATCTTTGTGAGCAGAAATTAGGCAATGGTTGTTTTAGGTATGACACCTGAAAACACAAGCAAAGAAAGAAAAAAAAAACAGGCAAATTAGATTTCATCAAAAGTAAAAGCTTTGTGCTTCAAATGACCCTGTCAAGAAAGTGAAAGAAAACCCACAAACTGGAAGAAAATATTTGCAAATCATGTATCTGATACGGGACTTGTATCTAGAATACACAAAGAACTCTTACAATTCAATAACAAGAAGACAAATAATTAAAAAAGGGCAGAGCTCTCTCTCTCTCTCTCTCTCTCTCTGTGTGTGTGTGTGTGCGTGTGACTATCATAAATAAAAAAAATTTTAAAAAAGGGCAGAGCTTGTGTAGTGCCCCCCCCCCCATTGACACTGAGCTTGGCCACATAACTTGTGTTGGCCAATGAGACACTAGCATGTATGAAGCAAGGAAAGGCTTGACAGACTGCTTGCACAATGGGGCTTGTCTGCCTGGTATACTTTTTCTTGGAACCCAACTCCCAAGTGATGAGAAACTCAAGCCATAAAAACAAAGCCAACAGCCAACATCAACTTCCAGTCATGTCAAAGAGACATAATGGCCACTGCAGCCTCAGCTGCCATCTGATTATAACTGCATTAGAACCCTCAGTCAAGACCAACACAAGAACTGCCCAAGTGAACCTAGTCAAACCACAGAATCATGAAAAATTATGAAACGGTTGCTATTTTTTTAAAAGTGTGCAAAAGATTTGTATATATATTTCTTCAAAGAAAATATTCAAATGACCAATAAGCTTGTGAAAAGATGCACAACATCATTAGTCATTAGAGAAATGTAAATTAAAATTACAATGAGATATCATGTCACATATCTAGAATGGCTATAATAAGAAAGAAAGACAATAACAAGCATTGACAAGGACTTGGAGAAACACAAACCCTCATACATTGGTGGTTGGAATGTAAAATGTTGCAGCCACTTTGGAAAAGTTTGGTAGTTCCTCAGAATGTTAAACATAGGAGTTACCATATTGCCCAGCAGTTCCTAGACATCTATTACCTAAAAGAAATGAAGATGTGTATCAACACAAAAAATGCAAATATGGATATTGATCACAGCATTATTCATAATAACCAAAAAGTGGAAACAGCCCAAATGTCTGTCAACTGAAGAATAAAACAAAATGTTTTCTATCAAGGCAATAGAATACTATATGACCATAAAGAAGGGATGAAGTTCTGACTCCTATCACAACATGGGTAAACCTTGAAAACATTACATTAAGTGAAAGAAGGTAATCACATCAGATCACATATGGTATGATTCCATTCATATGAAATATCTAGAATATACAAATTCATAGAGACAGAAAGTAGGTTAGTGGTTGTCAGAGGCCAGCAGGAAGGGTGGGATACATAGTGATGGCCAGTGGCTATGGGTTCCTTTTCGTGGAAATGGTTGTCCAACTCTGTAAATATACTAAAAATCATTAAAATGTACACTTTTTAAGTGAATTTTATGATATATAAATTGTATAAGTTGTCCCCAGGACTGTAAAATTGAATCCATTACCCTGCTGTACTTTTCCTTTGTTTCCATAGGATTATCATCTTTTTGTATACCATATAGGTTTTTTAAAGGGGAAAGGCTGGGCATCACAGGTGGCTCAGCGGTTTAGTGCCACCTTCGGCCCAGGGCCTGATCCCGGAGATCTGGGATGGAATCCCACGTCCAGCTCCCTGCATGGAGCCTGCTTCTCCCTCTGCCTGTGTCTCTGCTGCTTGCACTCTCTCTCTCTCTCTCTCCCCCTCCCCCTCTCCGTGTCTCTCATAAATAAATAAATAAATAAATAAATAAATAAATAAATAAATAAATAAATAAATAGGAGAGGGCCCAGCCTCCACCCACCAGAAGAGACAGACACAAATAACTAAGTCTAACAGTGGTGTGGAGGCCTTTAACCTGATTTCTTCATGTGTTAAATGACACTACAACCCCTTCATTTATTGGGTTGTTATAAGGATTAAATGCAAAACTCTTCCTTTTGCAAAGTGCCCAGTGTTGAAGGACTGACACCTGTGGCAGAGGTGTCTTGTTGCATAGTGACATCCATTCTCCCTGGCCCCCTTACCACCCAACCCAAATCTGGTTAAAGATGACAATGGGCCCAACCAAAAAACTACAGATGAAAGTGGTCGTGTGGGCAGCCCCCGTGGTGCAGCGGTTTAGCACCGCCTGCAGCCTGGGGTGTGATCCTGGAGACCTGGGATAGAGTCCCACGTCAGGCTCCCTTCATGGAGCCTGCTTCTCCCTCTGCCTGTGTTTCTGCCTCTCTGTGTGTGTGTGTGTGTGTGTTTCTCTATGAATAAATAAAATCTTAAAAAAAAAAAAAGAAAGTGGTCGTGTGATCCTGCTAGGGTCATTGACATGCCAGTGGATATGCTTGGGTGGTGGTTTCCAGAAAAGCCTCTGAAAGGAAGTCAGATTTGGCAGACTCTAGGGCATCTATCCATGAATGGCACCTCCTGGAGGTGTCTAGGCAACATCCCAGGCTCGGCCTTTCTTTGCCTTTGCCTTTCCCCACCTAGAAGGCCAGGGCTCCAAGAGGCATCTTTTCAGCCACTGGGGTGGGGGTGGATGAGGGCCACGGTGAGACAGCAATGGGGTTCAAAGCTCACAATCCACCATGAAGTTGTCCAGGGCCTAAAAAGGGTGACAGAGTTGTCTCTGGGGCCACCAGCATTTGCCTGAGATGCCTACCTTCAAACTGCGTATTTCATGAGAGAAAAGAGACGCTCTTTTATGTAAGCCACAGTCTTGTAGGTTTCTGTTGCTCATAGCTGAATGTACTTCCTATACAAAATTAATACCTATGGCATTGAATTAATATGCTTTAAAACTATGCCAGTATCATGGCATAACCTTGTCTGTAGGTAAGAACAGTTTACAAGCAGTGAGAAATTCATATTTGTTAAGGGAACCACACATTATGAATTCCTGAACACCCTGGACAATATGGGGGCCATCTATTGGAGCAACCCTACATCATGTTTCATGGTAAAGCATAACTGGGAAAAATGAAAGACAGAGTTAAATCTTCTAACCATCCACTCTGTGGAAACATTTTAAGAGAACTCTTGCTTTTCTCTTGCAAAAGGTTAATTTCATTCTCACCTCTGCGGATCCATGAATCTGAGAATGGATTGGCTAGATTATTGCTGTCATCTGGGGTAGTCTCATCTGAAATTTGTATCACGTAGATATCCATTTGCTCTCTAGTCTTAGGATGTGGATTCCCATGAGTTTTTGGTGCTTCAGAAGGTGAAGTTGCATAAGGCTGCCCAGCCTTGGTGTGGATGTTACTATCTGCTGCTTTCCGAACTAGATGCTGATGATCTCCAGAACTGAAATCTATTGGCTCTCTGACTTCCAAGTCCATTTCCCTGGAGAGGGAGAATTATTATTCAAGTCCTTGTGTTCATACCACTACAATCTTAGCATTCTCATAACAATCAAATGATTTTTTCTTTTTTCATATATATATATATATATATATCTTCTTAGTAGGCTCTATGCCCAACATGGGGCTTATACTCTCAATGCCTAGATCAAGAGCCACATGCTCTACCCACTGAGCTGGCCATGCAACCCTCAAACGATTTTTTTTAATTTAACTCCCTTAGTTCAGTACTTTTTTTTTCCTTAGCTCAGTACTCACTAAGCCAATACTTAAATATTTTATTGAATGAGTGATGGACAAAAACTTTTAAAATGAGGCCTGTAGAGTAAAATAACTTGCATTTTATTATTAAATTAATATGCTTATAAATTCATTCAGCAAGGAGTTAATAAGCTCCCTCTTAAGTGCCAACTGTGGAGCTGCCCTTGTTGCCTCTGCCCCAAAAGTGCTTATATTTTGGAAGAGAAGATAATCAAACAAGCAATAATATAAAAGCCAAAATAAGCAGGGTCTGGAATAATGGAGGATGATATGAGGGGCCCAAATGAAGTTTGGAGGAACATGCAGGAAGTAAAATAGGTTATCAAAAACTTCTACAAGAAAAAGTGAAAATGAGTTAGAATATGATATGGGGGAACATTTCTCCAAGGCAGGGAATCAGCCTAGATCAGAACTGGAAGAAGCATAGAGGGCAGTTTCCAGCACAGAATGAGGTTAGACATGGCTAGTTAGGGCAAGTCAATAAGAGGCTGGCAAGCCAAATTCATCCTGAAAGTTATGACCATGGTAGGCAGAACGAATGGCCCCCCACAGAGGTACACACCCTAATCTATGGGACTTGTGAATGCTACCTCACGTGACAAAGAGAACATTGCAGAAGTGATTAAGACTCTGAAGTGAGGAAATGATCCTCGATTACCTGGGCGGGCCCAGTTGAATCACAAAAACATCGTTATGATCACACTTATAAGAGGGAGGCAGGAAGATCAGAGTCACAGAAGGAAATGTGACAAGAGGAGCAGAGGTCAGACTGATGGAGTTGCTGACTTTGGTGTTGGAGATAGAGGCCAGGAGTCCAGGAACGCAGGAGGCCTCTGGAAGTTGGAGAGGGAAGGAAATGTATTGTCCCCTAGCACTTCCAGAAGGGGATGCGGGCACTTTAATTTTAGCCCATTGAGACTGATTTTGGACTCCTGACTTGCAGAACTGTAAGATAAAAAGTTTGTATTGTTTTAAGGCATTATTTTTGTAGTAATTTCTTACAGCCATAAGTAACTAATACAATGGGGAGTTACCAATGGTTCTCCAGCAGGGGACCATAAGGATCTGACCGGTAAGATTGCACTAGGCAGAGTGTGGAGAAAGGGCGAATAAGCAAAAGTGGGAGCAAAGAGACCAGAAATCCAGATAAGAGGTTACAGTGGCTCTGTCACAGTGCTTTGGAGCAGAACACAATTCTTAGAAAACCAGTACTTAACGAACCAAAACCGGCAAAGAAAAGCCCCCTGTTAAACTCAGGGGGGCATAAAGACTCAGACAAGCCCCTATTGCTGGCCTCCTGCCCCACAAGGAGGAGTCTGAGGAGATTGCTGAGAGGGCCAGTGTTTGGGCAAACCATAGACCAATTGGGAATGCCACAAAAAAAACGGTCTGAACAAAACACCACGCTCTTGGAGAGGCAGATTCCATTTTATAAAGATGTTCTTCCCCTCAAATTAATCTCTAAATTTTACAAAGCTCATTGGTATTTTCTTTTCAGTACTTGAAAGTATAACTCTAAAGTCCATCAGAAAGAGTAAATATATGAGAATAATCAAGAAGAAAATTGAAAGAGAAGGATTATGAGGAATTGAAGAGTACTGATTTACCTTATCAGAAACCAAAATATCATGAAACTATGATTTAAAGTATGGTTGTAGCACATGAATAGATAAATGGATCAATGGGATGGAAGAGATGCAACAAATAGACCCATGTATACCTGGAAATTTAAAATTTGATAAAGGAGGGGTCCCTGGGTGACCCACAGTCGTGTGGGTGTTGGACTCTTGATTTTGGTTCTGGTCATGATCTCAGGGTCATGAAATCGAGCCCCACATCAGGTTCTGCACTCGAGGGGAGTCTGCTTGAGATTCTCTCTCCCTCTCCCTCTGCCTTCCCCCTACCCTCACCCCTACTCATTCTCTCAAATAAATAAATAAATTTTTTTTTAAAGTTTGATAAAGGTGGAATTTCAGATTATTGTCCCATGGTGCTGGAACAATTAGCTATGCTTAGAAAACAAAGTTCAATAACTATTTCAAATCTTTCATAAAAATGCATTCCAGATGCATTAAAGATATTATCATAAATAATAGCCATAGATATTCTACAAGAAAATATGAACAAATATTTTCATAAGCCTTTGTAAGAATGATATCATAAAAGAAATGCTTGTCAGATTTGGTGTACAAAAAGACTTTTAATATCATTACAAAAAGATACCAATAACTCTGAAATGCAAAATTGTGAAAATAAAACTTGTAATATTTACTGTACTATAAAAATAAGTTTTTAACAAGAAAAGGATGAACAAATCATTAGAAAGATCAGGAAAGAATATGAATAGGCAATTTATAAAGGAATTTTAAGCGGTCAATAAACTTAAGAAGATAATACCTTGCAAATATCCAAAGAAATGCAAATAAAAACAATTGTGAATTTTTTTTGGAAAAAAAAAAAAAGCCTGGCAAAAACTAAAAAGACAATTCTCAGAGTAGCAAGGGTGTGGAGAAATGGATAACCCAGGGCCGCATTATGACTTCTGGGTATTCTATTCACATTTGCCTTCGAGGGTCCCCTCTCCATTAAAAAATATATATATATATATTTAAATGTATATCTTACGGCTGCACTGGTATAAAAATTCAATTCAGGCTGGATTCATTGTATACTATCTATTCATTATTATTATTATATTCACTTTTTTTCTCCTGATTTTAAAAGAAAATATTTTCAGGAACCCCCAAAAATACATTGAGCCCTAGGCAATATGCCTACTGTGCCCGGGGGCTGAGTCAGTCCTGAGATAACCTCAAGGAGTTGGCAACTGTGTAAACCTTTTTGTGGTCAGTAATGTGGCAGCATCAGATTGAAAATGTGCATTACTTTGCCCACAACAATTACATTTTCAGGAACTTACCCCATAAAAATACCCACACGAATAGGCAACAATACATATATAAGGAAGCTCATTACATTATTCACTATAACTGAAAAAAAGTTTAAATCAGACTATCAATCATTAAGGAATGGTTTGATTGATTTTGACAAAGAAAAGGTATATATATCTATATCTATAGAGAGAGAGATAGATATAGATATAGATAGATATAGATTGATGTCCTAAGTTTACTCTGACACACTTTAGAATAAAAAAAGACAGAGTAGAGAACAATAGGTGGTAGGATCCCATAAATGGCTTATACAACAGACACATCCACATTTGCAGATGCTGAAAAAATATAGGAAAACTGTTAATACAGTTATCTCTAACACAGCAGAGTTGGGGAATGCACTCTGCACGGTTATGAATTTTTATAATGAGCATTTATTATTTATATTTTTAAAAGATATTTACATTTTGAAGATGCAAAGCAATATTTCTCTTCGTGATAAAATCTGGAGCTCCTCTGAGGAAAACCGTCCTCCCACACAGCCGAGAAGCCCTGAGAGGTGCTTGAGCACCCAGGCTGGTTTCCTCCCCAGCAGTCCTGCTAAATCAGAAGGAGGGGAGAGGCAGTGAGAGTTTCAAAGCAGTCAAAAACAAAAACAAACGAAAATCAGAGGCAGCTGAGCTTTCCTCAGGAAACTACAGTCCTGGAGCCTTAATCGTAAAATGAGGTGTTCACCTGGTCCTCAAAAGAAGCTTTCTTGTCTCTTGAGCCAGCGATCCTCCAAAGGACAGGCAGGCTCTGGGGCTGAGAAAGGAAGTTCTGAGTGACAGTTAGGGGAGTGGCAGTTGGAGCATGGGGTGGGCTAGGGGTGCTCCTGCCTGGAAGAGGGACTCCGAGTCAAGTCTATCTGCTGAGACTCCTGCTGGTCAAGGAGTCATGGCCAGTGCGCTGTGCGCTGAGTCTCAGGGAGGCCAACCCCTGAACCTCCAAAGCCCATTGTATGTCAGGGAAAGTCCTAAAGCCTTAGCTCAAGGCTTCCAGAAGACCCAGTTGTCATCAACTTCTCCCGAGCAGGAGGAAGAGACTTAAGAAACAACACAGGGTTCCTGAACAATTACTTCAAATATGTAAGACTTGTTTATGACAAAGCAAGCATTGGTTTTTCTGGTGGATGATAACGCACCCACCCTCCCGGGTGGTATAGGGAGATGCCTACTCCCAGCTGCAGGCCAGTGAGGGGCGGGGGAGGCCTGATTCAGGGTACTCAGGGACAGAAGGCAGATGACCAGGAAAGAGGGCAGCAAGGAGAGGAATAGGAGCAGACACTTGTCCTGAGTGGAGACCGTTGCTGGGAACAGGCTGACTGAACTATTAACCCGCTCATTAAACTGCTCATTAGTGCATGCCTGCTATGCACAAGGCATAAAAGAAACACAGAGAAGGGAAATCCTGTCCTCAGCATGCTCACAGACCTGGGGAGGAGACACAGACATGGGGGCAAAGGTACCCCCGAAGGTAGAGGAAGGAGGAGACAAAGCAGGGAAGCTGTCAGGGAGGTGGGAGGATGGAGATGTGCCCTGAGCTGATTCTGGAGAGGACAGGGAGGGGTGCAGAAGTGTTGGGAAGGGAGCACATTCCAGGCCAGAGGAACACCCTGAGTACAGGGCATGGGACCCAGGCCCACAACGAAGTACTAGGTTCTAACGCAGAAGGTCCGTCTGCAGTGGGAGATGGACATCGTGATGCCCGTCCTGAGGATGAAAAAGGCAAAGGTCAGCAAAGCCTCTCTGCCAGGGCTCTCCTCTCCCGCACCTGCCAGCAGTTTCCTAGGCCTCATCCCTCTCTGTCCCGGTCCCCAATCACTATCCCTAGTTTGTCCTCAGTAGACAATTTGAGTTAGTTACCTTGCCCCAGGGGTGCATGGCAGGGGGGGTAACTAATGACTTGACCAGTCTGGTCAACAGAAATGCTTCGCCTCCTCCTTTCTTACTGGCCTCAGAATCAACATTAATCAGGCACTTGCTGGATGTAGAAATTGTTTACAACCTCCCCTGTGCCAACTCACAGGGGCCATGAGGTGTGTGTCTTGTTATCCTTCTCTGACAGGTAAGTAAGGGCAACTCATGTGCTCTGTCCTTGAGCTGCACAGGACAAGGGCTGGAGTGGTTAAGGAGTCCCACAGTGCCCATGTTCACCAGGACACAAAATGTGATGAATAGTATTCTCTTTGAAACCAGGCCGTGATATATTTCATGCATCTGCTCTTTTTTTTAATTTTAAGAGTTTTGATTAATGAGCCATGCAACACCTAAATCATGCAAATTAGCCTGCATGGCAACACTGATAATCCCCTGGGGAAGTCAGCTTTATTCCTTTCCATTGATGTTTAAGACCTCAAATTTATTCTTGTCTTCACAGCCCACACACTCATGCTCTCTACACACTTCACACACACACACACACACACACACACACACACACACACTGTGAGCAGAAGTTTCTCAAGTACCCCCATAGGCACGGACTGTCTCTATATGCAGGAGGTGAACCCTTCCTCTGGGTCCAAGTTAGATCTCTCTCTCTGTTTCAATCTGAGCTCTCTCCCCAGGCGCCCCAGGGAGCCCAGCCTAGACAACTGTGGATCATGCTCTCCCTGAGGCTCCAATGACAGAGCAGGAAATGATGTCATAGACTTCACTGAGTTGCCTTCCTGAGTTCTTTTCTCCCACCCTATCCCCTCACCTCCCGACTTGCCTCTCCACCCCTGGGCCATCACCTTCCCTGCCTTGCATCCTCATTTTCTCCCATGGCACATCACACTATTACACTCTAGTATGGTCTGCACATGACTTATGGCTTTGCTGCTTGGAGAAGCCCCACTTATTGACTTAGAACTACAAGCCAAGTACAAGATTATCCAATCTTCACACAGCCCTGAGCTGGGCAATACCATCCTCGCTTTATAGACAAGGACCCCAGCTGCATGAGGAAATCTGCCTGCCAGTCCCTGAACTAGACCCAAGCCACAGTACACCTGCTAACTCCAGGGGGCAGAGGATTTTTAGGGCTAAAAAACTGCCAGCGCTTCCTTTTTTCCCATTTGATATTTTGTTTCTTTTTTAATAAAAGGAACACATGATGTGATGGAAAAAATTCGAACAATACAAGATGAAAAGTGAAAGCCTCCCTCACCATTTCTATTACCATCAACTGACAATGGTTTTCTGTCTAAAGGACTAAAACAAGTAATCATCACACACACATGGCTTTTAAATTTACACAAAGTGATATTTTACCTTGTTCTGTGAATTGCTTTATCTTTTCTTTTTTTTAAAAGATTTTATTTATTCATGACAGAGAGAGGCAGAGACACAGGCAGAGGGAGAGGGAGAGAAGTAGGCTCCATGCAGGGAGCCCGGCGTGAGATCGATCCCGGGTCTCCGGGGTCACCCCCTGGCCGAAGGTGGCGCCAAACCACTGGGCCACTGGGGCTGCCCTGCTTTGTCTTTTCATATCGGTACATAGAAGGGCCTCAGATAGTTTCCTGTGTCACTCAGAAAGAAATCCAAAGTCTTTACTTTGACCAACATAATCTTGATACGAAAACCTGACAAAGATATTACAAGAAAGGAAAATTATAAGCCCATCTTACTCATGACCATAGATGCAAAAATCTGAAAAATATTAGTAAAGCGAATCCAGCAATATGTGAAAAGGATAGTATATCACCACCCAGTTGGATTCACTCTAGAAAAAGTATTATGAACCTCTCACAGAAAAAAAACATTTGATAAAAGTATACACGTTTGTGATGAAAATAGAAATAGAAGGAAACTGGGATGCCTGGGTGGCTCAGTGGTTGAGCGTCTGCCTTTGGCTCAGGTAGTGATCCCAAGGTCCTGGGATCAAGTCCCTCATCAGGTTCTCTGCAGGGAGCCTGCTTCTCCCTCTGCCTATGTCTCTGCCTCTCTCTGTGTGTTTCTCATGCATAAATAAATCTTAAAAAAAAAAAATGAAAACCCATTTGAAAAGAAAAAAAGAATGCCCAAGTCACAGCCCAGACCCCAGGGCTGTTTTGAAGGCCTTCTGAATGTGGTGTCAGAGCAGAAGTTGTATCCGCAGCCGGTCCAAATTACGGTTGCTCCGTTAGTCATCAGTCAACAAAATAAGGATAATAACTTTTCAAGGTGGTCACATGTACTAAATGTGATTTTGTGACATCATAGGCATTCAATACAGTTTTTTTTTTCTTTCTCTTGCTGAGGCATGCCACCAGCATATTCACTGAGATGCCTCCTAGTATGCCAAGTCTAGAAAATCCAGCATCCTGAAAACAGGTAGGCCACTAGGACGCTATGAAGTGAGGCTGAAAAGCAGAGGCCCGTTTCTCTGGGGAGGCCTGTTCAGACCAGCGACTAGGATAAGAGGGGAGCTGGCTTGTCATAATGCTCTCATCCTAGGCCAAATCAGTTATTTGGCTTTCCACCCTCCTGCTGTCACCGGCCTACTGATTAGAGGCTGCAGGACCTGGGATAACATCACCACCCAATAGCTAAGGAACATCTGCTTGACATCATTTTTTAAAGATTTTATTTATTCATGAGAGACACACACAGAGAGAGAAGCAGGCTCCATGCAGGGAGCCCGACGTGGGACTCGACGTGGGACTCGAAGCCGTGCGGGGTCTCCAGGATCAGGAAGGCGGTGCTAAGCCGCGGAGCAGCGCCCCCCCCCGCCCCGCCCCGCCCCGGGCTGCCCCCTCCTAAATGTTCTAAAATGTGTCTCAACTAATGCACGAATGTCAATAGACACGACACATTCGGCACAAGTATCGGGGGGGGGGGGGTCTAAACTGTAATCTTCAACAGTGTACAGGCGTCCTCAGGAGTGCCAGACTTCGCAAATAAAAATACAGCACCCGCAGTTAAATCTGAATTTCAGAGAAACCAAGAATAGTGCATGGGATACACTCCTATCAAAACGGCATTCGTGGTTTCTCTGAAATTCAAATTTAATTCGGCGTTCTGCACTTCCCCGGCCGATCCCAGACCTAAAGCCAAAAAAAGCCGCCCACACCTCCCGCAGGAGGAGGCCGGGGTCCCCGCCACAGTCCGCTTCCGGGAAGCCCGAGGGGGCACTTCCGGTCAGAGGGCCGGGGCCGCGGCGCGCAGGCCCCACCCACCGCCGGAAGCCGAGCGGGCCAGGCCCCGCCCCCCGGCCCCGCCTCCCGCCGCTGGGGCCGCCGCGGCCGCCGCCTGTCGCGGAGCGGGTGTCGCCGCCTTCCTGCCTCCAGGGGGCAGCGGCCGCCCTCAGGTCCCTGCGTGGACCGCTCGGCGCCCGCGCCGCTCTTCCGGTCGCTGGGGGTGGCGGGCCGGCCGGCGGGCGGCCCGAGCCGGCGGTCGCCATTCCCGTGTCGCTGCGCCCGCGGGGGCCGCCCGAGCCCGCCACGATGCCACTGGGCCTGAAGCCCACCTGCAGCGTCTGCAAGACCACGTCGTCCTCCATGTGGAAGAAGGGCCCGCAGGGGGAGATCCTCTGCCACCACTGCACGGGCCGGGGCGGCGCGGGCGGCGCGGGCGGCACGGGCGGCGGCTCGGGGGCGGCCGGCGGGACGGGGGGCGGCGGCGGCGGCGGCGGCGGTGGCGGCGGCGGCTTCGGCGCGGCGACCTTCGCCAGCACCTCGGCCGCCCCTCCGCAGAGCAACGGGGGCGGGGGCGGCAAGCAGGTGAGCTCCTCCGGGCCCCCCCCCCCCGCGGAGGCCGGCCGGCCGGGGGGCGCGCGGTCCCTCCCGGGGCGCGGTGCCCCTGCTGGCGAGGCCCGCCCGCTCCCGCCTCGCGGGGACTGCGACTGTAGATTTGGCCCGGGCGGAGCACCTTCTATTATTGTGAGAAATTGAAAGTGTAAAGAAGCAAGAAAATTTAAGACCCTTCAGAAGTCCCCTCCCCCCGCCCCCAGCCCCCAGTGTAGTGACATTCGCGGTGGTGACCAGACATCTCCGCACATACACACGTGTACACGCACGTAAATAGGGCCGTGCTGCTGGACCGACTTCCTGCTAATTTATTATGTTACTAAGTAAGATTACCGTGTCCTTGTTTTAAATGACAGCATGGTAAGTATCCCACTGTAGGAAGGGCCATACCTAACGTGCTCCCTGGGGTCGGAGAGTTCTCCTGGACTGTAAACAACAAGTAAGTAGTCCTCCCCTTGCCCTAGACTTCCCTCGGACGCCTCCCCCAGGCCCTGTTGTAAGTAGTTGACACCTTTTTGGAGGCTCTGCAGATGCTTGTCTAGGGCGCTTCCCTGTTGTAATCAGCCCAGTTCCGGGAGGTTTCCCAGCGGCAAAAGAAAAGGCACATTCTTGGGTGGTTTCGAAAGGTCAGTCAGCATAAGGGGCTTACTCTGGAGTCCCCGGAAGATGGTTGAATCGGGACAGCAATCCTTCTACGACTTTGATCTTTTTTGTTCTTTAATTGTTTCTGTAACAGAGTAAGCAGGAAATTCACAGAAGGTCTGCTCGGCTGAGAAACACTAAATACAAATCTGCTCCAGCTGCTGAAAAGAAAGTTTCCACCAAAGGAAAAGGGAGAAGACATATTTTTAAATTAAAAAATGTAAGATGATTGTGGACAGTGTCTTTTACAGTAATGGCCTTGTGTGTGTAGTGTGTCCTGTCACTGCCTTCATCTCCCATCTGAACTTTTGCTCTTCCGGGGCCTTTCCGCAGTGTCCTGGGGGAGTGAGTGGTCCACACTTGCTGGAAGGAAGTGAGCTCTGTTGCAGGAGGTATACTATTTATAGTTAATAATATCCGATTTTTTTAGCTTTTTTTTTTTTTTTCCTGCTGGGAAATAAAAAGTTTGAGTCTGAAAAAAGAAACATAAATCTTGAATGCATTTTATTGGGTCCTCCATGCAAAGGAGGAGGTGGGATTATGGTTCTTGATAAGGCCAGATATATTAGGGAAGAAATTTTTTTTTTTGATTCTTTAAAGATCTAAGTAAATAATACTGGAACTCATTCATTTCCACATTTGTTTATTACAGCCCCAGAAAATTTACGATAATCAATTTGATGAATGTGAATCAAAAATTTTGCTAAACCTTCTGCTGGTATAAAAAAATAGATGGTTGGAAGATGTGTGTGTGGGGCGGGGGAGTAGTTGAAAGTGCCTTTTGTTGCATTGAGTTCTCAGTGTTTTTGTGAACACAAGAGGAAAACGGCCATACACAGTGGGCAGTGCGTTATAGACGACTTTTGTTAAACCTCAGTACGGTGTTCTTTTCTTTCAGAACAGGAATGCTTCCCTTACCACTAAAGGAAGTTCTGAAGTTGGGCATATTCCCTTGTAAAACACAGAGGGGCCCTGTGGTAAATTATTATTATTATTTTTTAAGATTTTGTTCATTTATTCATGAGACAGAGAGAGTGGCAGAGGGAGAAGCAGGCTCCATGCATGCAGGAGCCTGATGTGGGACTCCAGGATAATGCCCTGGGCCGAAGGCAGACACTAAACCGCTAAGCCACCCAGGCATTCCCCCTGTAGTAAATTCTTGTGCAGATTGCAGATTCTTTTCTTACTGAAAATAGTTGCCCCTATTTTTTTCTTTTAAGATTTTATTTATTCGTTAGAGACACAGACCGAGAGAGAGAGAGACCGAGAGAGAGGCAGAGACACAGGCAGAGAGAGAGAGAGAGAGGCAGAGACACAGGCAGAGGGAGAAGCAGGTTCCATGAAGGGAGCCCAACTTTGGACTCCAGGATCACGCCCTGGCAGAAGGCAGGCTCCAGAACGCTGAGCCTCCCAGGGATCCTCCAGTTGCCCCTAATTTATTTAAGACTTTTCTAATTTAGTTTTCTTAAAATGAGACACCTGCTGACAAAGCATGTTAAGTCAATGTGCGATTGATGATAGTTGCATCACCACATGTTTCCCTCTGTGGTAGAATATGCTCTGCAGTTATTTCAGTATCTATTTCTCTAGCAACCCCTATCTTCAAGGATGATACCAAGACACATTTCGGGAGGCCTGGTTTTTGTGTTGTGACATATAACCATGTACTGCAGCTTAAGAAGGGATTGCTGTAATGGGTGGGTGGTGGTAAATAACTAAGAACTGCCAAGGAAGTTGCATATAGTCTTAGTTCAGCCTCCCTGGAACATTTCCTCTGATGACAAGTATCCCAACTAGTACCGTAGTTGAGATGGAAAATGTCTTCAAAGAGATACTTTTCCACAGGATGCCTGAGTGGGTCAGCAATTGAGCGTCTGCCTTTGCCTCAGGGCCTGATCCTGGAGACCTGGGATCGAGTCCCACATCGGGCTTCCTGTGTGGAGCCTGCTTCTCCCTCTGCCTGTGTCTCTGCCTCTCTCTCTCTCTGTCTCTCATGAATAAATAAATAAATTTTTAAAAAGACACTTTTTACACCTTATGTTAATTTACACATTCTTTTATGATTTCCATTCCAATCATGGCCAAGCCATCAGAGCCGGCATATTGTTTATAACTAGAATGTTAATATGTAATAAAGCTTTGAGAGCCCTTGAGGTAGATCTCAGCGGCATAGTCAGAAGCTTGTACTTTGGTTCTCAGCAATTTTTAAGCCGATGGTAGCAGAAACGGCCTTAGAAATATTCAGACTGTGCTTTGCCACATTCAGAAAACTGTTTGTTGCTTTATTGCACTTCTTGTCAACAGGCAACAGAGTTAGTATTTCTTAAGTTACAGAACTCAACTACCGGAAAAATGCCTGTATATGCTACACACACATGCACACTATGAGTGTGCTAATATTTTTAACTTTTTTTTTTCCCCCTAGCCCATCAAAGCTCCTGAGTCTGTTTCCACTATAATCACTGCAGAATCAATCTTCTACAAGGTAACAGTAGGGTTACTAAGGGAAGATTTGGGCCTGTTGTAGGATATGCTGCCAAATGTTGGGTTAATCCAGAGGTCTCTGCTCCTTTGTATAATGTGTAATTTTTTTGTTGTTCTTTTCTAAGCTTTTTTTCCCCCTAGGTGGCTGGTATAAAAACATCTCATCCAGAGCTGAGGTAGGAGGGGTAATTGCTTATTGAAACATGGTATTTTTTAAGTATCTTAAAATGCTAATGTATAGTGTGGAGTCATGAAAGTGTGAGCCTTCCTAGTCACTGTGACAGTCACTGTGCGAGAAGCACAGAGTGACGACTTGGGCTGATAGAGGGTTTGTAGACCTAATATCTGGAGTAGGCACAGAGATTCTAAAATGCCTTTAAGCAGAAGCAAGAGGAATAAGGTCAGGGGCAGGGATTAAACTAGAAGTAGATGGTGAGAGAGAGTCTAAAATGTTCTGATGAAAGAGTAAAGTCAGATTTCCTAGATTTGGTGGGAGACATGACATATTGTTATTTTTGAGCCAGAAGCCTTAGGAAAGCAGTTGGAACATAGGAAAGACTGGACGCCCGGGTGGTTCAGCGGTTGAGCGTCCGCCTTCAGCCCAGGGCATGATCCCGGAGTTCTGGAAGAAGCCTGCTTCTCCCTCTGCCTATGTCTCTACCTCTCTGTCCTCTCATGAATAAATAAATAAAATCTTAAAAAAAAAAAAAAAAAGACTTCAAAGCCTGATGGGCGTGATACAGACAGCAGCCCTTACATACTGTTGGTGTTTTGGGGGTCTGAACTATCTTTTGGGAGGCAGTGGCACGAATTAGTGCTTCATACCTGACCGAAGGGGACCAAACACTGAGAAACTCAAGTATTCTATTCAGTACCTGTTTTTGTTAGCCCAGAATCTGTGTAGTCTAAAACAACCAATATACAGGCAAATGTCGCTCCTAAATTTCCAGCAATTCATGCATTGTTAGTAATAAATAAAATAGCTAAAGTTTAGTATGTGTCTGCTATGCATCAGGCACAAAGGTGAGCAATTCACAGGCTTGACTTTGTTCAGTCCACTCTATGAGGCGCTACTGTTATCCCCATTTTATGGATGAGAACAATTCAGCACAGAGAACTTCATGAACTTGTCAAAGATTCTATAGCCACCAAGTCATGGAGTGAAGTAGTCTGATGGCCGGGCTCAGCTCTCAGCCCCACTGGCCAGTGGCTATGTGACTGGGCCAAGCCCGTCTCTCTGGTGTCTCTTCATCTATAAAATTGGGATTATAAGTAGCAGCCACCTCAGTGTGTCAAGTGAGATCATGTATGTTGAGCAGAATAAGCACTTAATGAATATTAGAAATAGACATCATCATGGTTTCAAATTTGCATATCACTCTCACAGCTGAATTTACAGTTTGCAAATTAAGTCTGGAAGCAACTAATTGGGAGATAACTGGCTGGCTCAGTCAGTAGAGCATGCAGCTCTTGGTACTGGGTTTGTGAGTTCAAGCCCCATGTGGAGTGTAGAGATTACTTAAATAAATTTTTTTTAAAAAAGCAGAAGCAGCAACTGGTTTGGCTGAGGATTTAGTGTACTAATGATTTTGAGGCATGTCTCAACCAAAAGGCAAAAGATATATGGGACCTGTTATTACAAGTATGGTATTTCTGTTTCTTTTTTTCAAAAATTTTGTTTATTTTTTTTGAGATGTGTGTACATGTGCATACTGAGTGGGGAGCCTGATGCAAGATCCTGAGATCACTACCTGAGCCAAAGTCAGACGCTTAACTGCTTAACCGACAGAATCACCCTGGTGCCCCACAAGTATCCTATTTCTTATGGCTGCCTACCACCCTGTTTGTTAGGTAATAAGGACAAAGTGCAACAAAGTATTCAGGTACTGATGTCGATCAGAGGCTGCCACTGCACTGCTAGGCTAGACAGGCAGAGAAGCAGACTCCACACTGAATGGGAAGTCTGGTGGGGGGCTTGATCCCATGACCCTGAGATCATGACCTGCACCGAAAACAAGAATCGGATGCTCAACCAACTTAGCCACCCAGGCACCCTTGGAATCTTTCAATAAGACATTGTCTTTGCCTTGCAGTTTTATTTTTACACTATTATATATTTTGAGTCAATATTCATTTAGCATGTATTTGAGTGCCCATGATAAACAAGGTCCCATTCTTTGTGTGTGCAAAAAAAAATTTTTTTGAGAAAAACGATTCTATGTGTAGTCAAAGCAAGCCATAAATGCAAAGTATTTATATGACAAATAACTTAGAACCTTGAATAGTGGCTACAAAGACCAGCTGATGATAGATATGAACTAGCAAGTAGCAGATTGTGGCCTGCACTGACCCTACCCATCCATAGTGGTCCATATGCAACTGTCACCCTTAGACACATGGATGAAAGGTCCACCAGGAAGAATGCCTGTCACAGCTCACTCACTGAAAGTATTTCTTCAGAATTATTCTTATGGCTGAGGTGCATGCCCCAGAAGCTACCAAGGCCCTATTTTGAGTGAAGCAGTGATAAATCACACTTAGTTCCTACAAGTCAAGGATACCTTCACCAGCTGAGAACCACACCCATGTAAGGAAGTGCTGAGTATCATAAAGATTTTTATTCCTATTACTGCTTTTCAGTAATGCCAGAGATGGACCACTGAACTGGTGAAGAAGCCTTAGCTGCATTCTCTGCCTTCAGTAGCCTTAAGTAGCCTTCAGCAAAGTCACTCCCCTTTTAAACAGCTCAATGGCTGTGGCCAAAAAACAGGGATGGTACTATTCTGATATGAAATCAAAGGACTTAAAAACAAACGTTTTCTACAGATGCAAGTTTTCGTGTATGTATATAATTTTCATTCAAGAGTGAACAACTTTGGGATTGGCATCAGGGTACCTGGGTGGCTCTGTTGGTTAGGTGTCCCAGTCTTGATCTCAGCTCAGGTCATGATTTCGGGGTCGTGAGATTAAGCCCTGCTTAGCATGGAGTGTGCTTAAGATTCTTTCTCTCCCAAAGAAACAAAACAAAATCGAAAGGGGCATCTGGGTGATGCAGTTAGTTAAGCATCTGACTCTTGATTTTGGCTCAAGTCCTGATCTCAGGGTCATGAGATTGAGCCCCACCTCAGCTCTGCGCTCAGCATGGAGTCTGCTTAAGAGTCTCTCCCTCTCCTTCTGTCCCTCCCCCACACACACTCCAAGAGCACACACTCTTTCTCTCTCTCTCAAATAAATCTTAAAAAAAAAAAAAAAGTTTTCTTCTCTGGCCCTCCACTCCCATTTGCACACACTCTCTAAAGAAAAAAGAATGAGCATCAACCGTATAAACACTGATGCATAAGACCATCTCAAAGACGTTTTACTGCTTTGCAAACTATTTTGTGTTAAGGAGGTTTCAGTTCATAGCTGTGCTGTTTTTCTCTATTTTTATTTCAAATATGGGATGATCTTCTATTTCCTCCAGGGAGTATATTACCAAATTGGAGATGTTGTTTCTGTGATTGATGAACAAGATGGAAAGCCCTACTATGCTCAGATTAGGGGTTTCATCCAGGACCAGTACTGTGAGAAAAGTGCCGCTCTGACATGGCTCATTCCCACCCTCTCGAGCCCCAGGGACCAATTTGATCCTGCATCCTACATCATCGGTGAGTTTGATAGGTGGTACAGCTTCTTGAACTCAGGTAATTCTCCATTATTGTGTAAAAGAAGATATTAGTCTGAGTGAGTTGCCACAACAAGGTACCACAGGCTGAGAGGCATAAACACAAAACCTATTTTCTCACAGTACTGCAGACTAGAAGTTGAAAATCAAGGTATTGTCAGGGTCACTTTCTGACAAGAGCTCTCTTCCTGGCTTGTAGGTGACTGACCACCTTCGTGCTAAGTCCTCACGTGGCCTTTCCTTTGTGTGTGCACACTCTTCAGTCTCTTCCTCTCCTTAGAAGAACATCAGTCCTATCAAGTTAGGGCTCCACCCTCAGGCCTCATTTAATCCTAATTACCTTCCAAAAGACTCCATGCCTCATCTCTAAATACCATCACTTTGGGGTTTACAGCCTCAACATATGGATTGAAGGGAATATAATTCAGTCCATAACGAAAAGAACATAAGCATCATTATATATTAAAAAGTAAAGAGCTTTATAGAAAATATGAAAGATATCTTATATAGCTGGGGTTTGAGTGCTATCAGTTTTTTTGAGTTAGGGCAGGAGATACCTACTAAAAAGTGATGTGGATAAGATTTTTCCGAACGACCCAGGGTTAAACGCTATTAAAGAATTTATTGCTCAGGAATTGGGCTTATTTAGGCATATTTACTTATAAAAATCTAGTTAAAAATAATTTCAAGAGGAACTATCCCCATGATTTCTAGAATCTTAAAAATTTTCATTAGGTGTCCCTCTACGTGTCACATACATCATTGTAGACTGATGAGATCGTATCATTGTGTATAGTTGAAATGGCAACCACTGTTCTCTTACTAATTTCAAGGCTGACAGAAGTGGTATAAATGTTTCTTGATGTAGACTCACAGGAATGAGTTGCTGATTTATACAATTTTAAAAGTGTTCAGAATTTTAAAGTTACCCCATATTTTCAACCTTTCTGTAATAAGCATGCATTACTTTTGCATACAAAGGTTTTGGGGTTGGTTTTTTTTTTTTTCCCAGAGGGAAATCAGGGACAAATAATGTACTGCTGTTCTCATCTCTGTGTGAAGTTTGATACCTGACCAGTTTTAGTCTTCTGCTTGTAGGTACGTAGAAGAGTGGATTTTCATCTACATGACGTATAGGACAGGACTCTCAGCAGAGGCAGTGATGTGAAGAATCACCTCTGGGGCTCCCCTCTCATCTCCTTCTCCTAATCCTCAGACCCAAGAGTGGGGAGCAGAGCATAGAGGTTCAGAGCACACACTGTGGAGCCAGATGATCTGGGTTCCTAGCCCAGCACTGACTAGCTGTGGGGCCCTGGGCAAGTTCCTTAATCTCTCTTGTCTCATAATCCTCATACATAAAACAGGAATAATAGTGGTGCCTTCCTCAGATCAGAGTTGTCAGGACTCAAAGTATCTGTAAATGTACCATACTTAGAATGGGGTGGGCATGTAATAAACATTGTACAGTGCTAATATTCTTTTTAGAATCCTTCCTGTATTGAGTCATTGTTTAGGGGAGTTAAGCAGGTAAAGTAAAAGAAAATGATGGAGAGTGACTTTAGAATAACACACGTATCAAGGACTAATGTCCGGTCACCACCAGAGTGGTTTCACCTAGTAGCATCTAGGAATCTTAATCTTTTATGAAAATGATACATATGTTCAAAAATGTGTTTAATCTTTCCATTGACTGCATTTTAGGACCAGAGGAAGATCTTCCAAGGAAAATGGAATACTTGGAATTTGTGTGTCATGCACCTTCTGAATATTTCAAGTCCCGTTCATCACCGTTTCCCACAGTTCCGACCAGACCAGAGAAGGGCTACATATGGACTCATGTTGGACCTACTCCTGCAATCACTATTAAGGAAACCGTCGCCAACCATTTGTAGTTTAGAAAGTGAAACTTCTTTCCAGTCATCTTGTATTCATTCTCCTATAAGACATGCCACATATTTCTTTTCATGAAATTCTTAGATGGAAAGACTAAACATTTTCCCCTAACTGCCCAGTAATCATTAGCTTGTTAATTACTAGTTACTTGGAAATTTAAAAGGAATTAAATATTTTAAAGTTGAATATATTCTATATGTGTGTCTTCCCAGGCAAAGGCCACAATTTCCAAGGAGATCGTTAGGAACAGGTAATATCTATTTTTCTCCACAATTTATTTCTAGAAACTCATTATAATCAATGGACTGTACTTTCCTTTTGGAACAAAATGTTAATTAAGGTTGGATTTCTGACCAAGGACTTGATCAAATAAAATATAGCTATGGCCAACTGTGTCTATCACAGAGTTACACAGGCTTTATTTTTTCATCTAGAAAATGCTAGTAGACTGTTTAACCTTAAGGAAAGTAATTGGTGGATGATTTTACTATTTTGAGTCTTTTTAAAACTTTATTCTGTGGCAGATAGATTCAGAATTATTCTGTTGATCTTCATTGCACCTTCCTTCTCTAAGTGAGGCTCCCAACCAAACCATAAAATTGTAGAGTCCAGACAGTTAACTTCATGAAATGTGCACAGGAAACATGTCATGTCCAGGCATCCCACTTGGTATTTTCTTTTTTAAAAAAAATTTTATTAAAAGATTTTATTTATTCATGAGAGACAGAGAGAGGCAGAGACACAGGGAGAGAGAGAAGCAGGCTCCCTGCAGGGAGCCCGATATGGGACACGATCTCAGGACTCCAGGATCACGCCCTGGGCCGAAGGCAGACGCTCAACCGCTGAGCCACCCAGGCGTCCCCATACTTGGTAGTTTCTTGATGATCTTTGAAGCAACCATTGTGCAATCAAAAAAATGACTTAATAGGTCATAATCATTAATATCTAAAAATGCCTACCTAAAGTTAAATCATCTGCTGGAGACTCATAGTAACAGGCCTAAAATAAAGTCTTAAGATTTAGGTGCCCTGCTTTTTATGAAATTGTCCAGAATTCAGATATAGATTTTTAGCTCAAGTGCAGGTTAGCTAAGTAAGGGAACAACAATATGATGGGATTGCATACATTCGCCTCTGATTCTATCCTGACTGAACCAATGTTTCTCAAACCCAGGAAAATTTGTCAGAATCTAATTTAATCATAATGATTCAGAATTGTAGCAGTGTTAACGTTTTTCTGCACAGTTATGGTTTGTTTGTTAGAAGGAAGCAACTGTAGATAGCTTGATGTTCATAGTTCTCCCCACAAAGTTTACTGTAAAATTGATTGTAAGTACCATTGTAAATAACTAAGTGCCAGTATTCAAACTTTTGGATTAAAGTGTATTTTTTACATTATATTTACTTTGGATTTATTTTGTTTAAATAATTAAATGTGGAGCTTTCTACCTAAACATGGTATAAATAGAAAACACCAGTGTTCTCATAATTTGGAGCAATAAACTGATCAACATATAACTGATTTTAGGAAAATATCAAAGAATGGCCAATATAGAAGAAACAATGTATACTTATTAAAATGAGGAAATATTGAAAAAACAGTATATATACTTAGCATTTGTTTCTAACTTGGTGTACATACTTGTGTAATATCTTTTAAAATAAAGATTGCATTTTCACTTTCCTCCTCAACACATACCAATGGCTCCCACTACTTACAGGGTAAATTAATTCCTTTTCTTCTATATTGAAGGCCTGCCCTGATGTGGCCCCAGGCCATATTCCCAGCCTTATCTCTCCCTTCTCCCTGCCACTGAAAGGCTTCCTCCAACACTTTCCTTATTTTCCTGACTGAACCTTTGTTCATACTGTTCCCTTCAACTCCACCGGAAAGGCCTTTCTTAAGACCCTCGAATTCTGTCTCTCCATGAGTCCTTTCCAGATTCCCATGGATTCTTGAAATAATCAATATCCTATTCTGTTGTTACATTGAAGTTTCTGGTTTTTTTTTTTTTTTTTAAGATTTTATTTATTTATTCATGAGAGACACAGGGAGAGAGAATGAGGCAGAGACACAGGCAGAGGGAGAGGCAGGCTCCATGCAGGGAGCCTGATGTGGGACTCGATTCCGGATCTCCAGGATCAGGCCCCAGACTGAAGCTGGCGCTAAACCGCTGAGCCACCAGGGCTGCCTGAGATGGTGTGTTTAATTTTTATAACTCACACAGCACCTAACTTCGGGTCCTCACGTCTGGGAGGTACTTGGTGTAGAGTCCAAATTAGATGTTCACTAATTTGAAATGCCTATGGAGGGGCATCTGGGTGGCTCAGTTAAACGTCTGCCTTCAACTCAGGTCATGCCAAGGTCCTGGAATTGAGCCTCATGTTGGACTCCCTGCTCAGTGGAGAGTCTGTTTCTCCCTTTCCCCCTGCCTGCCCCTTCCCCCTGCTTGTGTGTGCTGGTGTACTCTCTCTGTCAAATAAATGAATAGAACTTTAAAAAGAAAGTGGATAATTGGCTATATCTACACATAAATAGTCCTATAAAAAAAGTATTGATTTTTAAATTAATACTAGTTCATATTAACTCTGGCTTAAATTTCAAATTCTCTATAGTCAAGTAGAATTTCAGATTGTTATTAGATTAATAGTCTTTTTTTTTAAGATTTTATTTATTTATTCATGAGAGACACAGAGAGGCAGAGACACAGGCAGAGGGAGAAGCAGGCTCCATGCAGGGAGCTCAACGTGGGACTCGATCCTGGGACTCCAGGATGACGCCCTGGGCCAAAGGCAGGCGCTAAACCACTGAGCCACCCAGGAATCAATCCCCTCCCAACTCATTTTAAATGAGGTTTCCTTTCATTAATTTTCACATGGCATATGTTTTCTTCTAGGAGTTTTATAGTTTCGGGTCTTATGTTCAAGTCTTTATTTTGAATTAATTTTTGTATTTGGTATAAGCTAGCATTTGAGTGTCATTCTTTTCACATGACTGTCCAGTTTTCCCAACTCCATTTATTGAAGGGATTGTCTGTCCTTTTCCCATTGTATATTCCTGGCTTATTTGTCATAAATTGGTTATATATTCATGAGTTTATTTCTGGGCTGCTTGTTCTGTTTCATTGATCTATGCATCTATTTTTATGCCAATAACTGATTGGTTAATATAGCTTTGTAATATTTGAAATCAGCCTTGTCTTTCTTTCTCAAGATTACTTTTGGCTATTCAGGGTTCCATACAAATTTTAGGCTTCTTTGCTCTATTTCTCTGAAATGCCATTTTTTTAAAAAAGATTTTATTTATTTATTCATGAGATACACAGAGAGAGGGAGAGAGAGGCAGAGACACAAGCAGAGGGAGAAGCAGGCTCCATGCAGGGAGCCCGATGTGGGACTCGATCCAGGGACTCCAGGATCATGCCCTGGGCCAAAGGCAGGCGCTAAACCACTGCGCCACCCAGGGATCCCTGAAATGCCATTGATATTTTGATAGGGACTGCACTGAATCTGTACTTGTATGGCTTGTCACAGTTTTTTTGGAAGGGAAAACACATCAACTCAAAAAGTTAAGGACTGTTTGCTTGATTTACATGTGGGATGATTTTTTTAAGATTTATTTATTTGTTTATTTCTTTGAGAGAGAGAGAGAGCATGAGCACGTGCATGGGAGGGAGGAGGGGCAGAGGGAGAGGGAGAATCTCAAGCAAACTTCCCGCTGAGCATGGAGCCAATCTGGCCTGATCTCAGGATCTCAAGTCATGACCTGGGCTGATATCAAGAGTTGGATGAGCCACCCAGGTGCCCCACATGTGGGATGATTTTAAAAATCTGTAATCCCTTCAAAATTGGGAAAGGTGAATTAGATAATCCAAATAATTTTATGTTGGACTTCTTAAAGATGAACCCACTTTATCTGTATACACTGGAGAATATGAAAATTTTCCAAGTGCTACTGGATAAATTTGCACCAAAGACAAAAAAGATTTGGGAGTGCCTGGCTGGCTTAATCAGTAGAGCATGTGACTCTAGATCTCAGGATTTTTTAAAAAAAGATTTTATTTATTCAGAGAGAGAGGGGCAGAGACATAGGCAGAGGGAGAAGCAGGTTCCATGCAGGGAGCCTGAAGTGGGACTCGATCCCAAGTCTCCAGGATCACACCCTGGGCTGAAGGCAGGCGCCAAACCGTTGAGCCACCCAGGCTGCCCAAGATCTCAGGATTATGAGTTTGAGCCTCATAGTGGGGGTAGAGTTTACTTAATTAAAAAAAAAAAAAGATTCTACCAATTATAAATTTAATGATATCTCTGGGATACTAAGATATGCTCCTACTTAGATGAGTTGTACTTTGCCAAAAAAAGCAGTAGCTTTAAAGTTGTTTTTTGTGTGCCATACATATATAAAGATATAAAATCATAAGATATAAAGCAGTTCTATATTCCAGTACTTTATTCCTTTTCAGGTCAGTATTTTTCAATTTGCAAGTCTCAACCCGCGTATGGATCAAAACTAGCATTGTTTGTATGAAATAGGATAGAATAAAAAGGGAATAGAAAGTATCATCACATGTACTAAGAGTAGGTATTGTTTTGTAAATTGTTTCAGCAGTAAGGAATATGGACTGGATCTTTATGTAAAATGTATTACCTAAAAAAAAAAAATGTATTACCTTAGGTTGTGGTTAAGTATTTTGCACATCGGTGTTTAGATCTCAGCATTTTTACTTTTGTGAAGATGCTGTAGCATTCCCTTTATCTGACACGAATTCCTACAAAATATATGAATAATAGGCCAAATCAAATGTCTAGAGCCAAAATGCACCATTTCAATTTTCTGTCTGAAGCATTCAGCAAGGGGTGACTGGCTGTCTCAGTCAGTACAGCATGAGACCTTTGATCTCCAGATCGTGAGTTCAAGCCCCATGTTGGGCATAGAGCTTACTCAAAAACCCCTAGGCAAAATGTCTCTGTCAATATATGGTTGATGGTAATTGTTACCCTGGAATATTCCTTGGCTTTTAGTTGATTTGTTTGACTCTTGCAAACTTCCTGGGAGGTTGAGTCCTAAGTCAGCTTTACAAAAAGATGTCATGTTGCCTAGGAAATAAGGAAACTCCATGGCATGACATCTTTGCCCAGTGTTTTATGTTTTATATTTTTATTTTTCCATCTTTATTTTTCCTTTACACTTAACCAATATTGAGCATTTTACTATGGGAATGTAAAAATGCCTATTTTAAAAATCAGTGCTGCTAATATCTCCTGAAACTGTTGTAGATGTTAATTTTTCCATTACTTTTATAATCAAAACTGATTCCTAACCAATCGTATCTGTTCTAATCTTAAAAAAAAAGAACTAAAATACTAGACTTTGTTTTTCTTTTCCCTCATTTATTCAAAGGAAGATTATCGCAATTTCAGTTGAGAAATAAGAACAAGTCATTCACAAATGTTTATTATTATTGATTGATCACCAGCACAAGGCACAGTTCTAGGTTTACAGCAGTGAACAATGTGCACAAAACCCCAACCCTTTATGGGATTTCCAAGTTAGTGTAGTGACAACTGGGTGTGGTTTAAAAATAAACCCTGCAAATTAATAGTCAGTACTTACACTCATGGTTCTCCCAGTCAGATTCTTAACAGAGGACTAGATTTTAGGTTATGGATTATTATACTGATTAGGAAAATACCAAAGGATAATGAGACCACTGCTTAATATCTGAAATAAAAAATAAAAAGCTGAATTTTATGCTTACTGTAGTATCCCTGCACTCTGCTGTTCATGCGCAGGCTCCCTTAGTAGAGCAGACTGCTGATCTTTCTATTTTAATTAATGAATTTTTTTAAATTTAAAATCAATTAACTAACATACGGTGTATTATTAGTTTCAGAGGTAGAATTTAGTGATTCATCAGTATAACACCCAGTGCTCATTCCATCAAGTGCTCCATCACCCAGTTACCCCACCCCCTACTTCCCTCCCCTCCAGCAACCCTCAGTTTGTTTCCTAGAGTTAAGAGTCTCTTAGAATTTGTCTCCCTCTCTGTTTTCATGTTCTTTTATTTTTCCCTCCCTTCCCCTATGTTCCACTGTTTTGTTTCTTACCTTCCATGTATGAGTGAGATCATATGGCATTTGTCTTTCTCTGACTTATTTCACTTAGTATATAATACCCTCTAGTTCAATCCATGTTATTGCAAATGGCAAGATTTCATTCTTTTTGATGGCTGAGCAATTTTCCTTTATATATATAGACCCCCTCTTTTTATCCACTCATCTGTCGGTGGACATCTGGGCTCTTTTTTTGGGGAGGGGGCTCTTTCCTTAGTTTGGCTATTGTGAACATTGCTGCTATAAACATTGGGGTGCATGTGCCGCACTGAATCACTATGTTT